AACACTATTAATTTTTGTCAATCAACGGTTATTATTTTTGCAAATTAAACTTATTAATTGATTATTAATTCACAATAAATAATAACCGTTGATTGACGGAAATCAACGGTGTTAAGATATGATTGTAAGAGGTTGTAAATATAACCTTCTTCAAAATAATTTATTTTAAAATCAAGTGAGAGAGTGAATGATGATTTATGACAAGACAGGGAGTCGATTTTCTCATATGTTAATTAATATAATTACATTATATAGGAGAATTATAATTATACAAAGATAAATTGATGATGATATATAAAGAAAGGGAGAAAAAAATATTGCGATAAATAGTTATAAAATCATTACAGTTGATTTTCTTTGTATGATTAAGATTCTCCCATATAATATAATTAAATAAAATATGAGAGAATTCATTTTTACACAAAGTTTTTATACTTTTTGTATTTTTGAATGAGTCTCACTTGATTATGAGGGTTATTATTATCTTTTATTATAAATATATTTTTTATGCGTATTATAATTATATTTTTTTTTATTCTTCTCCTCACCTTCTGTGTTGGGTTCGAACCGAATACTTGGTGGTTAAAAGGCAAGCTCAAACCAATAAGTCACTCGTAAAACCAGCTATTATAATTTCAAAACATGTTTATTTTTTATAATAAATTAGTAATAAGCTATTTTAAACATAAATAATATAATGTAGCCGTGTAGGTATATATTTAATAATTAAATTTAAAAGAAAATCTAATTTCAACAACCTGGAATAATTTTTTTTAAAATAAAATTATAATGAATTGAAAACTTATAACAATATTTTTGTGGAGAATAAGTCTCTGTTTGATAACTATTTTTAAAAATAGTTTTATGGTTGTCAGAACAAAAAAAAAAAAAACTTTATTTGTTATGCCTATTTTGTAAAAAAATAATAATAATTAAAACTGTAACCATTTTTTTGTTTTTAAAATCAAATTTAGAGAACCTGGGTTATTTTGTTTTCTATTTTGATTTTTAATTTTTAAAATAAAAAAAATTAAAAATACTTATTTTCATAACTGTTCTTCAAAGAGAAAAAAAAAATCAAGCCGTAAATTTTCTCAAGTATTGTGTTAACATGATCATATATCATTTAAATTATTAATAATTAATTTATTAAGAATAACTAAAAAAATTCAGAAACCACAATCAACGAGACATGAAACGATTCATTGGTGTTGTTTGTATGTGACAAGACAACAAAATAAAAACGTGATCGAATCACAAAGTAGCCTAAAATTTCAACTTTAAAGCTAGGCACGTTGTATTGTATCATAATTGATGAGTAGATTGCATTGAAATGGGCATCGTGGGAGCACAGAGGACTGTAACGGTCCACGTGTTGATAAGTGGGTGGTGCTGGGGGTGACTGGTGTAGTTATTAGTCTACGTTGAAAGATCAAAAGAAAAAGGGTAGCAAGAGTGAGTGTTTTTGGTAGTTATACCAGCTATTTTGCACCCTTCGAAATGGATAAAATTGTTCGGCTACTTGTCTTTCAAACCCCTTCACGATTCTACATATTTGGAAGTGTTTCTTCATGAGTTAGGAAAATTAGATATCAGTTTCTATGTTTGTAACCTTTTCGTCACTAGGAACAAATGCCAACAATCCTTATACGATGGGTAAGGTGGATAAAAATTAAAATACATGCCTTGTGATTTGTGAATATTCACAAAAACCTTTGAAATATGTTTTTTTATTTCATGTATTATGTGTATTATAATTGTTTTCTTTTACTTTAAGATTGGATCAAAGTTTATATTATTTACTATTATAAAATTTAATTAATCTTAGTATGTTATTTGAGATATCATTTTAAATTTGTTAAACAAAGTTATGGTATGCGTTGTTACGAGTACTTTGTAATTTATAAAATTTATTTTAATTTCTTCAATACTCATAGATATAAATAAATATTTATTTAAAGAGAATTATTTTTCTCATGTAGTAGGAGAAAATTTTTATCTCCTACATATACAAATGAAATGCGACCCATCGATTTAAAAAAAGGCACATTATTCGATGTAAGTATAACATGAAAAAATAATCTTACGTAAAACGTGAGAATATGATTTTCCCTTCTTCTTTTCATAGTGTCCCTAATCCATAGGATGAAATTAATTCCTTTTACGATTTAATTTCCCTTATTTAAATACCCATCACGAAGATAAAAGCAGGAATAAGAGAAGCACTGTCCGTCCGTCTCCGTCCTTTTGCGATTCTTATTCATGACTCTCCAAATCAATTAGGTAATTGTATTTTCGTCTAACTGATTGGCGTACTTGTGTAGTCATAATATATAGTTACTTAAAATAATGTATATAATAGGTTAAATTTTTTTGGCTTAAGCAACCTGGTAATTTTACTCTTATCTCTTTTCGAGTTTAACATCTATTGGCGCTGATAACGATTGGTTCCTTTTAATTCTATTATAGTAAAATGGATTTGATCTCATAGTCGATATCAAATTGTTGAAGTGAATCCACCTTAAGATATTTACAAAAGGAAAATTATTGGCCTAAATAGGCGTGCTTCACCCTTAAATATTGGGTAGAGATTGTTAATTGAAGTTAATAAATAATATTTGGTAGAGATTTCATCCAAGACGGTAAGTGCAGATAGCAACGTCAGGCGAGGTGAATTTTTTGTTTCTCCTAAGGAAGTACACGTGTAGGGTTGTTTTATGACTTAATTCCACGTTGACATTTTCATCCCCATATAAAACAGAAACCCCTTATGTATATTACTTAATAATATATTGGGAGGAGGGGAGGTTCCGGATAGGAGAATGTCTTTTTCTTTTTTAATGATGGTTTCATTAATAAGGACAAGCGACAAGCCCCACCGATTCAAACAATTACAATACAACCAAACACTCTCGAGAATAATATAATACACACAGTATTGATGTACATGCTATTTTATATTTGGATTAAAAATTTATCCATTTCAAAAATGTAATTTACTTCTTCTTAGTAATTTATAATTATGTATTGAGGATACTACATAGTTATAACTTAAAATTATTTTTTTCACTTTTCACGTCAACAAACAGTATTTAAAAAAAAAAAAGTACAATTTTAATATTATAACTATGTATTATTTTTAGTACATAATTATAAATTACTAAAAAAATATATGTTACATTTTTTAGAAGGACAAACCATTTCCGCTTTATATTCAAGGGCAGACCTACATCGGGGGCGTGGATGGGCGGCCGCCCCCCTCCCCATCTTCCAAATTTGAAAAAACATGTATATGCTCCCAAAAAATACATAATATACTTCATTTTCTGTAACTATTTGTATATGTTTTCTACTTTTAGATTGTGATTTTCCTACTTTCCACTGTTGACATGGGCATATGACAATGAAATAATCTATGTTAAATTCGTCAATTCAGTATACTTGTTAAACTATATTTTATTTGAAATATAAATTAGATTTGTTAAAATTTTTGTTCCCTCTTATGATTTTCTGGGTCCGCCACTGTTTATATTTATATAATTTAATTCAAATTGATTCTTTTTCTTTTATTTCATTTTTTGCACTTATACTATGATTTCATTATATATCTTGTTCTAGTGCGACGAGATGATATGCAAAACATTATTTTAAAGTTCAACAATCGGGTTGTTCAATTCAGTTCATGCCTAACTCAGCATGTTAAGATTTAACGCTCACCCTTCCCTTTCTCCTCAACACCTATAGTATAGATACTAGGTCAAATGCTATACTAATCCTGTTTGATTTTAACTTAACAAACAGTACAATAGATATTCATGGAAGATGGAACTACCTTCTGAGTTCCCCCTAGAGCCGTGCTTTGACCATACAATCAGATCCCATCAAGTTTTCCCATTTGCAAGAAGAACTAATCTAAATTAATTGTATTTGGACCAATTAATAAATTTCAAACATTTTTTTTTCAAGGATGGTTATATTAACAAATTTTTTTATTTATAAATTTATAAATTACATTATATCTTATTGATAAGATTTCACCTAAAAATGTTTTACCGAATAATATAATTTGTAAGAATTTATAAACAAAAAATTTATAAACATAATTTTCCATTTTTTCTCTTTTCTTTGTTTTTTTTTTTGGGTGCAAAATGCTTTCATAGAGAGGATATATCAAATAGACATGAACACTTCAGCACTGATTCCCAACCTAATCCACAATTGTTTACAGCTTAAACCTTATCTCTTATTTACCTTGTTTAAGATAATCCAAAACATTCACCCACTTGTTGTAACTTATCCTCAGCTTATTCTTTGCTATCTTTTTTCACCAGATGACCTTCCATTAGTTAATACTAATGTGTGCGTGTGCGTGTGGGTTATAACTTTTTAATATATAATATGCAATTTTTATTTTTATTTTGACTGCTTAAGGGTATAGAATTCAATTCAAAGATGATCACTGTTTCTTTCTTTCTCTCTTTCTTCATATCTAAAAAAGGAAACCGACAATGCTAAGGTTTTGCAGATAGCAGCTAGCTAGTTCTATTTTCGCATCCTTCATTCATTTTCAGTCAACATCTATTTAGTTGTGAACTTATATACCCAAAATTATCAGAGAGGCGGCAACCGTATAGTTATTTATTTATTGGTAAAGTATTTTTCTTTATACCCAGCAACACTCTTTTTTTTTCCTTATTTATTTTTGGAGAATCAAAATCAAAAAGAGAATTTCTGAACCCAAAAACAAACAAAAAATTTGTATCAGAAAGGGTGGTGGGGTGTGTTTGCATGGTGTGAGCTTAAGAGTAATTGAGGCGCAACAAAGGTCACTGTTCTAGTGGGGGCTAGCTTTTCATGTTCAATTTCTCTTACCCACCTTATATAATCAATCGTGTTTCTTTCTCAGAAGGAATCAACCAAAACAAAATTCTGGGTCGATCTTATTATTAATTCTTCGCAAACAAAATCTGCAACACATCACAAAGCAGGGTTAAGGTTACATGTGCTTGTTAAAGGTGGCGCACCAAAGAGGTTCAGGCGAGTTCGTCAGGTTCACGGCGGAACACGGCGGAGGCGATGAGGAAGTGGAAGACACTTTTGGACAAGATGATGGGCCATCACAGTCACTAGGATTTAGTGAACCGGTGCAGCAAGGGGAGGTGGCATCAATGCCAGGGCATGTGGTTTCAGGGCACACCAGGGCTAGAGAGATGACGGCTGCGACGGTTTCGGCGCCGCCGCATGTCTTATCATCTGGCTATGGCCAGACCCACAGGGAGTGGGTCCAAAGAAGTGGTTTTCCTATGATGTCAGGTTTTATGCATGTCTCTTCTCCTCGTTTGTCTTCATCCAGTTCTGGCTCTCTTTTGGGGTCTGGCTCTGGTTCTAGTTCATGGGTTGGGCACAAAAGAGGGCGTGAAGATGAAAGTGGTGTAGGTGGTTCATCTCAGTTGATACAAGATGTGACTAGACTCTATACAAACATTGGTGACTTGGGACTACCATCTCAAGGACAGTCATCATCAAGTGCAATTGGTTTGTTTTGTTTGCCTCAACATTCTCTGCCCATAACATAATCATCATACACATACCATTTTATTCTCTTCAAATTTAGTCAGAATTAATTAATAAATGGCATCCCATTATTTGCATTGCTTTCAATTTTGCTTAACCAACTTTTTATAACTCATAAGCCAACATGCTATTGTAACATTAATCTATATCAACCAAATCTTTAACTTATCAAATTCTCTTGCCCCACTTGCACAACCTTAATTAATTTTTTTTTTTTTATTGTGGTATCACCACTTTATATTGCATGCATCAAACAATTTTCAATAACAACAAAACAAAATGAAACTTAGATAATATACCAAATTGGCTATAGAACAGTGTTGGTGTTGCAAAATGCAAAACACACATCATTCTAGCATTTGTACATTAGTCCAAATGTTTTGTGTACGTTATTTTAGTCTTTGATTTAAAACAGTGAGAGAAGAAGCTACAACGATTGGGACCACAACCGCCGCCGCCGCCGCCACGACGGCACCGTCGAGTGAAACTGCATCATATGAAGAAACCGGCGAGAGGAGGAGAAGGTACAGAGGAGTGAGGCAGAGACCATGGGGGAAATGGGCAGCAGAGATTCGTGATCCTCACAAAGCGGCAAGAGTGTGGCTTGGAACATTCGAAACTGCAGAAGCTGCAGCAAGAGCTTACGATGAAGCTGCATTGAGATTCAGAGGTAACAGAGCAAAACTCAACTTCCCAGAAAACGTTACTGCAGCAATGCGACCACCACCTGCTCACGATTTTCCTATCGCCATTTCTGGTTCACCATCATTTAATTTGTTGCCGGCACCTCCTCTTCCGCCGCCGTTGCAGCCACCGTTCATGCAGAGACAACCTTTTCAGGGCTCCTCTGATTTGATGAGAGACTACTGGGAATATTCTCAGCTTCTGAAGAGCTCAGGTGACTTCCATGGACTTGAACAATGGTTCTATGATTCGCAAATGGCAGCGATTCAATCTTCATCTTCGTTGTTATCACCATCTTTGTCGTCTTCTTCATCACCAACTGCATTTTCTCCATCCAGTCAATTGTCCTCTGCTTCTTTTCCTCTGTCTTCTGGTCAGCAAGTGGGGTTTTTCCGGCCGCCGGGAGACCACTCTCGTGGCGGCGGTGACGGTGGTGGCGGGTCAAATTTTCCACCTTCGACATGGTCAGATACCAGTGGCTATCCTCCTCCCTCTGGTTGATATGGAGTACACCACTTCCTTATTTCCTTTTTATTTTTTTATTTTCCTACTATTTTTTCTTTCTTTCATAGACTAATTACTTGCAAAGAAAAGAAAAAAAAAAAGGTAGATTTGGGGTTAAATAATTTGGAGTACACTGAATTCTTATGTAGTGTTGGATTATATATTATTTGTTAATGTTATTGTGAATACAAATTATTTTCACATTAAATCAGTTAGGGTCTTGACATTGACTGGTTTTTTAAAATGATACAATTTTTTTTTAAATAGTACGATATAGACTCAGCACTTGTTAAATTTTTAAAAATAATACAATTTTGGTACTGGTTGGGCTTTATCTGTCTAGTTTTTTTGGCATGGATTAAAATTATTTTCAAAAATAGGGGAGAAAATTATAGATTGAGGGATGATAAAATGTTGAAAGACAAAGCAGCAACTTAGTTTTAAACTTAGTTTAGATGTAAAGACAAAGCAGCATTTAGGTTTTGGGCTTAGTTTATTCTAAATTCTCAATGGATTTTATTTCAACCTTGTCTATAATCCACAGAAAGGTATAGAAACCATTATCTTTTACAAAATCTGTCTGCCAGAATCTATACAGCCGCAACTTTATTAAAGTGATTGTCCGAGTACTACTCTTCTTAACCACCCTCGTGTGTTTCTTTATTCTTAAGATATGGATATATTTAGTAGTTACTAATTAATAGCTAATATTTAGTGACTTATTTTCTTTAAATTAGAACATAATTATAAAAATTATTTATTACATTTTATATATCAAGTAAGTAGAATATATAAATGATTATTTATTATTAAAAATACATGTATCTTTATAAAAAATGTGTTAGGCAGAGGGGAAAAAACACAAATTTCTTAAGCATATCTTACATGTTGATGTCAGGATTCTTGTACGGAAAATATGTTTCTCATAATAAATTATGTCATGCAACATATATAAAAGTGAGTAAGATCTATTAAGAAAAAAAGAAAATCTTACTTATTTTTTTATGTTTTACATGAGAAACATATTTATCTTCTTGTATATGTGAAAATGTTTTTCGAGAGTGATTTTAGTTTCTAAGTTATCAGATAAAGGTATTTTGAAAAACTAAATCCATAATGATGATGATTATTACTTATCTAATTATTCTCTGCATACTATAGCTTTTTTTCTACCAAATAGAAGAATCCTTAAAAAAATAAAACAAAAGAGAACAACTTTTCATACCAATGTTGATTATTAAACAGAAGCCGATTTTAAATAGAATATAAGACATGTGCATGCTCTGTCATAACACACCCTCACCACCAAAGCCATTAAATTTAGCAGTTGGGTAAACCTCAGCCCACTACCCTAGCAGTGGGTACTAAACATAAATCACTACAAAAAAACAGGCATTTTGCGGCGGTTCATTTGTGGTATACGCGACGGTTACAATCGTCGCTAAATGCATTTTTGCAATTAGGGGCAGTTGTAACCATCGCGTATACCAAAAATGAACCGCCGCTAAATGCCTGTTTTTTTGTAGTGAATGTCAGTGTTTACTAAATTTTTTATTTAAATGTCACGTGAATAATATTATTTTCTATCTGCCATGGGGGCAAGTTCACTATCCAGTGTAGCGAAGTCGGTTTGCTGACGTGTCACGTTTTTAGTAGACACCAAATTCGCTACATAATGTAGCGATCTTCATATTTTTTATTTTTTTAACTTGGTACTTGTTATCCACTAGAAATGTGACACGTCAGCAAACCGAGTTCGCTACATCGGGTAGCGAACTTGTCCCTGTGAAAGATTGAGAAATAATACTGTTCACGTGACATTTAAGTAAAAAACTTGATGAACAATAATATTTTAGTGGGTGTTCCGTGATATGAATGTATATTTCCTTGATCCTATTTTTCTATATTATAATTTGAGAGGGCATGAATTGACGTGGATCAGTCAAATCAAGACGATCCAGCGTTTGGTAAGAGCAAGGACTTCTAAGAATGGTGCTATTCACACATCTACACATATATTATTTCTGTCATGTCATGATGATATAAGGGAATATAAGGCTCTGAAATTTACAATTAAGCATTAATCAGGACTTCAATCATATAGTTTTGATTGGACTTTCGAATCTGCTATAATATAGTTTATATATGTTTCCAGGCGTCCTTTTGAGTTGATCAAACTTTGGACTAGCTTTTTTTTTAGAGAAAGTTTGTTTTTGAAAAATATTGTGGCCGGGACTATTATATGTAATGACTTATACTGATATACCCTTTAAAAAATAAATTTGTCGTGTTTTCTTAATAACAAAATGGTAATAAAAATACGCTATTCTAAGACTTTTGGTTTAGCATAACGGGGACATGCGTTTCGGGTTTTAGAGGAGTAGGCAGAGATTCACACAAAAATTACTTTAATAAAAAAAATGTGAAGATTTGTATATAATCACAATTTAAGTAGGTGGTGGAGGCTTACGCTAGTTGTGAGATTTCTTTTAAAAATTTATTAAGCTCCATTTATATGTCTAATACACCTAACACGAAAACTCGACATAAACGGCTTGCTAGCCAGTTTTGCACTATATAAATGCTTACTGTTGCTAGAAAGTTATAACCTTTTATTTGATTGGTTTCAGTTAATTAATATTTTAAATATAATGCTTTATCTTTTGGGCGCACTTCATAGCTAAGCTAACTACTTATAAAGGGTGTAGGAAACTTCCTTAAACTCTTTTACATAATTTTTTTTTTTAATTTAAAGCTTAATAAAGTGATTTTATTTTTATACTATATTAGAGATTAAGTCTTCACGCATTTAAAGATTGAGAGTCTCATTTGCTTATTCGCATTTGGGCCTGGATGTCTAAAGAGTGGGAGCTGAGGTTTTTTATACTTATCGTGAAGACAGTACTGATGTGGATAGATTTGTAAATCATATTTTGGATAAGAGTGAGGATATAGTATTTTTTTTTTCATCATGCCTGCTAGGGGTGTGTATGGGTCGGATCGGATAAGGTTTTTGTGCCGACTCGATCCAACTTGATTTTTATAGGTCAGATATTTTGATCAGACCCGCTTTAATTTGATCCAAGACAGATATGACTTGGTTTGAATTTTTTGAACTAGTTCAGAACCAGATCAGATCTGACCTGACTTGGTTTCTGAAGTGGGTCAAATTTGATCTGATCCGTTTTTGACTTGGTTTCGATACATGTTTTTAATTTGATTTTTTTATAGTTATTGATTTATTTTTTAAACTCATGTAATTTAATTATTTATTTGTTTTAAAATATATAAATTTTATAATAAATTTGATATTTGTTAAATAAATAAAGGAATGTAATTTTAAGCCCCAGCACATGTGAAGCAAAATTAGTAAAAAATAATGAAAAGTAAAGATGAGAGAACGTTCTTTCCATCTTAAGATGACAAATCACTAATTTTAACAATACTAAAAAAGATCATATTTTCGATGAAATTTCTACTTTGCAAACGATGAAAATTTCGTCACAAAATTATTTTTTCGTCGGAATACTTTTTGTCGAAAAGCGACAGAATTTTTTCTCTAATGAAAATTTTTACAAAAATAAATTTTCTATCGAAATTTTCGCCGAAATTTAGTTTCCGTCAAAAGTTTTGACGAAAATGATTTCCTCCATCAAATGTTTTTAACGAAAAAAGAATTCTGTCAAATATTTTGATGGAATGTTTTCCGTTCAAAATTTCGATGAAAATTTGTTCTGACGAAAAATTCGACGAAAATTGTTTTGAGGAAAATGTTTCATTCGAAACTTTCGACGAAATTTAGATTTTCTAAATAATTTTGACAGATATTTTTTCCATCAAAATTTTTTATCGAAATATTTTTACGAAAATTTTTAACAGAAATGTGTTCCGTTGAAGATTTTGATGGAAATGTTTTTTATCAAAAAACTTGAAGAAAATATTTAGTCGAAAATTTTCGAAGGAAATGTGTTCGCTAAAAATTTCGTCGAAAATTTATTTTTGTCAAAAAATTTAACAAAAATGTTTCCGTCGAAAACTTTCGCCGAAACTTGAATTCTGTAAAGAATTTTGATGAAATTTTTTCTGTCAAAAAATTTCGATGGAAATGTGTTTCGTCGAAATTTTTTATGAATATGTTTTTTTGTGAAATATTTTGACGAAATTTATATTTCGTAAAAAATTTTGACAAAAAATTCTTTCCATAAATTTTTTTTACAGAAATGCTTTTAGTCACAAATTTTGATGAAAATTTTTTTCGTCAAAATATTTGGCGAAAAATTTTGATGGAAATATTTTCCGTATAAAATTTTGACGTAATTGTTTTACGTTAAAACTTTTCTTTTAACGTAATTGTGATTTTTCTTTTCTTTCTTTTTTCACATAATGGGTATGGGTCAAGTTTTGGGTCAATAGGTCATTATTAAAACAAGTCAGGTCGAAAATTGACCCAAATAAAAGTAGGTCAGTATTTAAAACCAGTTAAAAAAAATAGGTATTTATGGGTCAGGTCAAGGTCAAATCAAGAGCAGACCAAGTGAAACAGTTTTTTTGCACACCCCTACCTGCATGTTTATTTCCTTTAATTGGATTGTGTAAAATAATTTAATTGAATCAAACATTATTTTTTTAACCTGTTTTGAGAATTATATTTTATAAACCAGTTTACAAATTAAATTGAAACAAAAGAACTGATTTAGAAAATCAGCTCGAATCGATTCAAAACCACTTCCAAGCTAGTTTGCATATCTAAACTGGTTCAAAACAGATTATAAATTATAAATTGGTTTTTGCTATGGATAGATCCATATCTTAACTGTATCTCCCTTGAGGGATTATTATACATCTTATCAACATCTCAACAACAGAAGATAACAAGGATAAAGGGATAAAACCCTTATCTCGACAAGTTAAAGGTTGAATCATATATCAATTGGGAGATCTTGACGGCCCAAGTTCAAGAGGTAACCTCTATAAATAAAAGGCTAAAGAGGTAACCC